CTCCTCGGCCTCCCAAAGTGCTGGGATTACAGGCGTGAGCCACTGTGTACAGTCCCTATGGCATAATGTTAATAAATAAGACTAGGATGCAGAATCTCAGGTGAGGCGCGGTGGCTCACACCTGCAATCCCAGCACTTTGGGATGCCGAGGTGGAAGGATTGCTTGAGGCAAGGAGAGCAAGACGAGCCTGGGCAACATAGTGAGAATCCACCTCTTAAAAAAGATACAAACTGGCCGGGCGTGGTGGCTCACGCCTATAATCCCAGCACTTTGGGAGGCCGAGGCGGGTGGATCGCGAGGTCAAGAGATCGAGACCATCTGGTCAACATGGTGAAACCCCGTCTCTACTAAAAATACAAAAATTAGCTGGGCATGGTGGCGCATGCCTGTAGTCCCAGCTACTCGGGAGGCTGAGGCAGGAGAATTGCTTGAACCCAGGAGGCGGAGGTTGCGGTGAGCTGAGATCGTGCCATTGCACTCCAGCCTGGGTAACAAGAGCGAAACTCCGTCTCAAAAAAAAAAAAAAAGAAAAAGAAAAAAAAAAAAAGATACAAACTGTTATCTGCAGTGCGGCAACAACTGCATCCGAAGCCACATCTGTGTAGAGGGGTGATTTTTGGAAAGGGGAAGTACCCTAGTGGCCTTCGGAGGATTGTGGGATGCTGTGTAACTTTGCCCCTGGTATTGTCCTTTTTTTTTTTTTTTTTTTTTTTTTTGGTGAACAACCATGAATTTTATGGTAAAACACAAAAAGACAGAATGCATTATTTTTATTGTTACCAGTGGTAGCGCCCTGCAAGTTTTGACCGGTAGTTCAGAAGTGGCAAAGTGTTTTTGTATCTATGGCTTTCTTGATCCTTGTAACAGTTCTCTGAAGACAATGTGGCAAAGGTTTGTGTTTTTTCATTCAATCATTCACATGGTATAGCTTTTTTTGTTTGTTTTTGGAGACAAAAACACGTCCAGCTGTTGCCCTGGCTGGAGTGCAGTGACATCATCGTGGCTTGCTGCAGCCTCCAACTCTTGGGCTCAAGTGATCCTCCCATTTCAGCCTCCTGAGTAGCTGAGACTATAGATGCATGCCACCATGCTTAGCTACTTTATTTTTTATAAAGACAGGGTCTTGCTATGTTGCCCAGGCTGGTCTTGAACTCTTCAGCTCCAGCAATCCCTCCTCAGCCTCCTAAAGTGTTGGAATTACAGGTGTGAGCTGCTGCACCCAGCCTCACATGCTTGTTGAGTTCCCCTGACCAGGACTGGGACTTAGCTGAGAGGAATGAGATGCCAGGGGCAAAATGTAAGGAGGCTCGGATGCTCAGGGTCTTGCGGTGCCACCTGAAAGTCAGCGCCTCCTGCATTTTCCTTCCTTAGGTGCCTCGCCTGACTCACCCTCGTCCGGGCCCCGCCTCCACTCTGAGCCAGGCACTACTCTCAATTCTGGGGAAGTAACAGTGAACCAAACGGGTAGCGCTCCCTGCCTATACGGGCCTTCCGTCTAGAAGGGGAGGCAGGCAGAGCTGGTACTCACTGAGACTCCCCTGGGCATGCTGACTGCCCTAGGCGTAGCAGCAGCCAGTGCTCAAGGTTTGGACCCTGCCGTCCCGTGGTCTTTCTCCTAAGTCTTGTGTGCTCGACCCCATGGGTGTCCAGCAGAGTCAGCATTGTAACTTGGGCCACCTGTGGAGCTCAGCTTACTGTGGTGTTTCCAGTGTGGAGGATGTCCTGAAAAAAACCCCGCTAGCAGCTAGCGTGAGGACCTCTCCTGGAAGGACTGCCTCTTTGACTCTAAGCAGGGTCCTCTCCCTCCGTTCCAGCCTCCTACGTGATCACAGACCTGACCCAGCTGCGGAAGATCAAGTCCATGGAGCGGGTGCAGGGCGTGAGCATCACGAGGGAGCTGCTGTGGTGGTGGGGCATGCGGCAGGCCACAGTCCAGCAGCTCGTGGACCTCCTGTGCCGCCTGGAGCTCTACCGGGCTGCCCAGATCATCCTGAACTGTGAGTAACTCAGGGTCCTCCCTGGGTGGGGCCCATCACGCTCCTGAGCAGTTTCCATCCGTGTGAGCTGTACTCTCTGGCCTTGACACTTTTTTCCTCTTTTAATTAAAAAAACTAATCTAGGCCGGGCGCGGTGGCTCAAGCCTGTAATCCCAGCACTTTGGGAGGCCGAGGCAGGTGGATCACGAGATCAAGAGATCGAGACCGTCCTGGTCAACATGGTGAAACCCCGTCTCTACTAAAAATACAAAAAATTAGCTGGGCATGGTGGTGCGTGCCTGTGATCCCAGCGACTCAGGAGGCTGAGGCAGGAGAATTGCCTGAACCCAGGAGGCGGAGGTTGCGGTGAGCCGAGATCGCGCCATTGCACTCCAGCCTAGGTAACATGAGTGAAACTCCGTCTCAAAAAACAAACAAACAAACAAACAAACAAAAAAAACTAATCTAATGAGTGAGTTTACCATGCACATAAGAAACTGATAACAGGCCAAATGCTGTGAGTCACACCTGTAATCCCGGCATGTTGGGAGGCCAAGGGGGGCGAATCACCTGAGGTCAGGAATTCGAGACCAGCCTGGCTAACATGGTGAAACTCCATCTCTACTAAAAGTACAAAATTAGCCAGGTGTGGTGGTGTGTGCCTGTAATCCCAGCTACTCAGGAGGCTGAGGCAGGAAAATCACTTGAACCCGGGAGGCGGAGGTTGCAGTGAGCTGGGATTGTGACACTGTACTTCAGCCTGGGTAATAAGACCAAGACTCCATCTCTAAAGAAAGAAACTGCTAACAATGGTTACCTGTGGCAGCCAGAGAACACAGTGTTGGAGGGAGACTTTACTGTAAATTGTTTCGTACCTTTTAAATTTGGGCTGTTTAAAAAATAAATACACTAGGTAATTTTAAAAAGCTCAGTAACTATAACAAAAATTCAAAAAAGGCTGTAGTAAAAATGATTCATATTGTCATCCTTTCCCTACTTTACATCCCAACAAGTAATGACTGGTAACAATTTCTGGTTTGTCTTACTAGAAATTTTCTCTGCATGAGCAATGATATTATGTATCCGCAATCCCTTTTTAAAAAACTTTTCTTTTTTTTAGACAGGGTGTTGGTGTGTTGCCCAGGCTGGAGAGCAGTAGTGTGATCAAAGCTCATTGCAGCCTTGATGTCCTGGGCTCAAGTGATCCTCCTGCCTCAACTTCCTAATTGGGACTATAGGCACATGCCACCATGTCTGCCTCATTTTTCGTTTTTTTAATAGAGATCGAGGCTGGTCTTGAACTCCTGGCCTCAAGTGATCCTGCTGCCTTGGCCTCCCAAAGTACTGGAATTGCAGGCATAAGCCACCTCACCCTGCCTGCAACCCCCTTTTGATACAGGTAGTAGCACACCATGTACTATTGTGAATTTTTTTTTGCACCTAGCAATAGACCTTGGGGACTGTTTCATATTGACAATTGACACATTCTTTCTAATAGCTACATTGTATTCCTTTGACAGATATACTATGATTTGTTTAGCTTACCCCTATTGAGAGATGTTTAGGTTCCTTCTAGCATTTTTTGGTTCTTTTTTTTTTTTTTTTTTTTGAGATAAAGTTTCTCTCTGTCACCCAGGCTGGAGTGCAGTGGTGTGATCTCGGTTCACTGCAACCTCCACCTCCCATATTCAAGTGATTCTCCTGCCTCAGCCTCCCAAGTAGCTGGGATTACAGGCATCTGCTACCAGGCCCAGCTTTTTTTTTTTTTTTTTCCTATACAGAGTCTCGCTCTGTCACCCAGGCTGGAGTGCAGTGGTGAGATCTTGGCTCACTGCAGCCTCCGCCTCCTGGGTTCAAGTGATTCTCCTGCTTCAGCTTCCTGAGTAGCTGGGACCACAGGCACCCACCACCATGCCCAGCTAATTGTTGTATTTTTAGTAGAGATGGGGTTTCACTGTATTGTCTAGGCTGGTCTTGAATTCCTGACATCAGGTGACTGGCCCACCTTGACCTCCCAAAGTGCTGGGATTACAGGTGTGAGCCACTATGCCCGGCCATTTTTCTCTTCTGTATAGTGTCAGGATACACTCCCTTGGACGTATAGAGCCTGTTTTACACACATGTAAGTGTAGCCATTTTCTCGAATTTTAAGTGTTGATTGACATTGATACCAGTATTAATGAACTACTGTCCTCTGAGAGAATAGGATCACGTGTTGTGGGGACATATTTAGCCGGTAGTACTCCTACCTTGAAGGGTGGTTGTGAAGTTGAAGAGCAGAAAGTCAAGTACCTGGTGTTCAGCCGGTGCTCAGCAGAAGGCAGCGGGAGGAGGGGTCTGGCTATCCCCACCCCTCCTCACATCCCCAAAGAGACCCCCTCAGTGTGGGGCAGGGGGCCAGTCTTCTGCAGGTACTTAACTGAGCACCTGCCTGGTGCTGTCCTAAGTTCTGGAATATAGCACAGGCAAAGCAACTCTGCCTTCACAAGGGCACAGTCTTGTTAATGTACAGGAAAACAAGTAAAGAAATGGGCAGGTAAGATACAGTGATCAGATAGGGGAGCCTCCTAGGACAGAGGGTCAAGGAAGGCCAGTGCGAGGACGTGAACCTGGAGGAATAGGAAGAAGACAGCCATGTGACGCGTTGGGTAAGAGCCCAGGAGAGAGGGGCCAGCATGTGCAAGGTGCCTGGGGAGCCAGTGGTGGGAGACCCAGATACCCAGGGAAGAGCTGTCCTGTCTGGGATTCCTGAGCTGGGAACCACCTGGTTGGACCAGGATACCAGGTTCAGCACCTGCCTATCCCTCAGGTCTTCTGGAATCAAGGACAGCTTCCAGGAGGAGGGACTGGGAGCAAGGGCCTGAGGGTAGGGGCCTAGAGAGCGCCACCCTCTGGAATAAACCAGGAGAGCAGGGGATGCTGAGGTGGACCTGCAGGTGGAGAGATCTAGAACTCCAGCCCGGGCTGCGCTTTTGGGGGCATCGTGGGGCAGACCACACCAGGCACAGGGAGCCCAGTGGAGCAGCTAGAGCATCTCTTTCCTTCAGCTGCCAAGTGACTTTCCAGGCCTTCCTGTCTGGGGCAGGGAATGGGGCGATCCGGCTCCCAATGTGAGTGACGCTCCAGCTTGACTCCTTGTGTCCCTACATAGTGGTGGCTCCTGATGAGTCATGGCCCTCCCCACCCCGCGGACTCCTGCTCTCTCACTAAGCCCACCTTCCTCCTCAGAGTGGAGGGGTCAGCTGCCCAGGCCACAGCCTCCCGCTTCTGGAACCCACCTGAACCCCTCCCTGCCTGATTCTCTGGAGCTGCTGCTGTTTCTCTCCTTACATTCCCCCTGCAAAAGTTGTCAGAATGAACATGGAGTCATTTTGTGTTAAAAAATAACACTTGGCTAGGTGTGGTGGCTCACACCTGTAATCCTAGCACTTTGGGAGGCCGAGGTAGGCAGATCATTTGAGGTCAGAAGTTCAAAACCAGCCAGATCAACATGATGAAACCCTGTCTCTACCAAAAATACAAAAAAATTAGCTGGGTACGGTGGCACACACCTGTAATCCCAGCTACTCAGGAGGCTGAGACAGGAGAATTGCTTGAACCCGGGAGGTGGAGGTTGCAGTGAGCTGAGAATGCACCATTGCACTCCAGCCAGGGCGACAGAGCAAGACTCCATCTCAAAAAAAAAAAAACCCTGACAAATAGAGCTGGGGAAGGCCATGAAGGAGGACTGTCATGCATAAATGCCCAACAATAATAACTGTCATGGACGACTCTATAAAAACCACAACCTTACATAAAGACCATCACAGTCACACACACAAAATACTTCTGCGAGGACATCTGTCCAGCAAATGCCTGTCTGACCTGGGAGACTGGTATCACCCTTGTTATCCAAGGACAATTACCTTAAAACAGTTACCTTTCTGGTAATTGAAAAACCTTTCTGGATACACTTAGTTTACTGTGGCACGTGTACGCTCATTCCAATGCCCTATTCCTGAGTAAGCAACATTTTCTTGTAGAGAGCCTCTCCTTGTTTGTTATTTAGGTTGATACCCTGAAGGCCAGATCCTCATTCTGGCCTGCCAGAGAGGCCAGGTGGTTTCACAGTGCAGTCGTGGGCGGCGGGCCTGAGTTTCAGTTCAGGCTCAGCCTTGGCTGTGTGGCTCTGGACAAGTCCCTTCCTTTCCCTGGGCCCTGGACCTCTCGACCCCGTCGTTGTCCAGCTCAAGTGTAGTCAGGAGCAGGGGCGGGAGTTCCAGCTAAGTGGAGAGGGGGGCCGGTGGGGTGGGGCTGGCACCAGACCCCAGTGTTGCCCCTACAGCTCAGGCTCAGAGGTTGCAGGGGAGTCCCAATGCCTGAAAGCAGAGAAGCACCGGGGCTTGAGACACAGCCTCTGGCTGGACACTCACCATCGATGTCAAAACCTGTTGACTAATCTAATACAGATTCTTAGCAATGTGAGGCCAACAAACAATAGAGTGCGAAATTTCCAGAAATACACTCATCTCAGTGTGACACCTTTTTAGGGGAACACTGAGCACTTTTGAGGTGCTGGCACTCCCCAAGTGTCTGCTCAGAGGAGCCCCTTCTCCACCCAAGGAACCTGGCCAAGAATGGCTGGGGGTGAAGGTCATGCTCAAGCAGTCTGGATCCAGAGCCATCCTGCTTAGCTTCTTTTCTTTGAGACGGAGTCTCACTCTGTCGCCCAGGCTGGAGTTCAGTGGAATGACCTCGGCTCACTGCAACCTCCACCTCCCTGGTTCAAGCAATTCTCCTGCCTCCGCCTCCTGAGTAGCTGGGATTACAGGTGCCCGCCACCACACCCAGCTAATTTTTGTATTTTTAATAGAGACAGGGTTTCACCATGTTGGCCAAGCTGGTCTCTAGCCCCTGGCCTCAGGTGATCTGCCCACCTTGGCCTCTCAAGTGTGGGGATTATAGGCGTGCACCATGCCCCTAGCAGTCCTACTTAGCTTCCATATGGGAGATTCAGCTGCACCAGTTGCCTCTGAGCGCCG